GGGAAGGGCTGCAGTAACCACAGTGACCTGTAGGTGGCGGCAGGGGTGGGTATGGCTGAGCCACAGATGGAGAGTGTTGGACACTCCTCAGGTCTCCCGAGAAGAGTGAGAAGGGGCTGCCTCAGTTGGAGAGGAATGCAGGTTAGGTATTAGGAAGAACCTCCTAATCTCAGGAGAGTCAGCCCCAAAAGAGCCTGGGAAATGTCTTGGGGTGGTGAAAGGGTTTTTTTTTCTCCCCCCTCCTTTAGCTCTGTGACTGTGGGAGGTCCCTGGCCCTCTCTGAGCCTCCCTTTTTAGTTAACAAATACTGAATGAGCACCTACTGTGTACAGGTGTGTGGGAGAACCACAGGTCCTGTGATCCCTAAAGGCTCTGCTTTGGGACAAAGATTGGCTGGCTTGAAGGAAGGGCCGACTTCTGGAGTACAGCAACCCCAGTCTCTTGGAATCTCCCCCGCACCCTGCCCCGCTGCCGTTACCCCTGAGCTTAGGAAGTGGAGCAGCTGGTCCAGGTGGTGCCAGAGTTTGGGAGCCCTTGGATTCAGGAGTCCTGCTCCGAGGCTGTAGAAGTCCCTCCGGGTGCTGCCCTGTGGTTGCACCAGCCCCACCCCCACCCCTCACCTGTGGTTGGCCTGGTGATTGGCTGAAAGAGGTGGCCCAGGCCTTGGGGCTCTCAGAAGTGATCTTCTGGGCACTGGGCTGTGCTTGGCTCCCCCTGAGGGTTGTGGCCCCAGAGACCTGCCTGGCTGGCCTCAGGAACAGCCCTGCGGTGGCTGGGCCTCTGGCCATGGGATGGCTTTGGCTTTTATTCTGAGAGATGGATGTCCTGCAGAGTCTTACAGGCAGGAGACAAAAACATGCACCCAAGAGGAGAATTGTGAGGGTCAGAGGAGACGGTGAGTGTGAGGGGCTGAGGGGGTGTGGGGCGGGCATTGGGGTTGTCAGGAAGGTAGGCCTGATGCAAGCCCAGACTTGCCTCTCTCTTCACCTAGACCCCTCCCCAGCCTAGACGGCCAGGCCACACCTCACCCCCATGAAACTCAGCCACTCAGGGCCCCCAGCCTGGCTGGGTGGCAGTCTGTGGCCCAGGAGGCAGCTCGCCACCACACCGACACCCTTTCCACATAAGCAGGGAGTGCACCTCAGCGGGTTGCTTCATTCCGGGGTCGTAAACGAAATGAGCTGTCAAACGGGCTAGGGGTGGGGGGAGCCAGAGTGAAAGAATGAACTGTTCCTGGTGGAAACCCAGAATACCCCTCCTTCCTCCCCAGGAGGGCTGGGGGTGAGGAGGGGTGAGGGGCTGCATCCCCCCAACATCCGCATCCACACCTGTGTGGTCCTGCGGTTAGAGGGGCCTGGGGAGCCGGATTCCGAACTTCCTATTTTTAGTTTTGCAGCTAAGAGCACGCTGTTTGTTTTATATATTTATGTTCACCTGCAGAGAGAGGCTGCCCTGAGCCCCGCCTAAAGGAAGCCCTCATTTGAAGGGGACAGAGCAGCCCTAGAGTCAGCTCTGGAGCCAGCCTCCCTTTCTGCCCATGCTGGCTGCTGGAGACAGTTGTGGGCTCTTTGATGGCTTAGTGGATGGCAGCTATTTGGGTCATACCACCCCCGCCCCCCCTACTCTGCTCTTTGAGCCTAGTGTCTATAAGACCACTGGCCAGGCTTCATTCACTCGTTCGCCAGACATAGACCTGAGCCCCATCCCACCCCTAAGTGCCAGGTACCAAAAAGAACAAGATCACTAAGCTACAACCGTGTCCTTGAGGAGCCCATGGGGCAGGTAGATAGGAAAACAAGTGTGCTGACCCGTGGGATACACAGCGTGGACTGGGGCACATATGGGAGGCTTCTCAGAGGAAGCATCCCTCCCCATTAGATGAGATGGAAGGATGAGTAGGAGTCCACCAGGCAGAGAAGGGCAGGAGGGCCTTCTGGGCAGAGGGAGCTGCATGTGTAAAATCTTCGGGAAGAGTGTGGGGCTGAGCTGCAGAGAATGGTGGGGGAGGGGGAGTAATGGTGATGGGATAGGGAGGTGAGCAGCCCAGGTTTGAGGGCTGTAGGCTGAGCTGAGGGGTTTGGACTTGGTCCAGCAGGCACTGGGAAGCCAAGCTGAGAAGTGGCAGCATGTTCAGATGGGTCTGTGTTGGAGAGGATCTTCATGGCTGGTGGTGTGGACTGAGGATTGGGGTATGGGGAGGACGGCAGAGACCTGTTCACAGGCCGCTGCGATGGTCCTGGCAAAGGAGCAGGAAGCCTGCCCAAAACAGTGGGAGGAGGAACTAAGCGTTCTCCAAGACGCCTTAGCACTGAAATCACAGGAAGGACCCCATGCCCCATGCAGGTTTAAAGACGCAATTCCTCAGAGCCTGTGGCATTTATGGAGCCATCGTGGATGAGATCTTTATATAGTCTTTGTTATTGTCAACTGTGCAGCAGACACTTTGCCCCCTCTCTGACTCTCCGCCCCACAAGCTTTTAGGGAAGCCTAAAGTTCTGCCTCAGTTTCCTCATGATAACCCTCTGACAACATACGAGATGCAGGGCCCAGGGTCAGGTCCAGCCATTATGATCCAAAGATATAAAGGTCTTATGACTCTGAGTTCAAAACTCTCAAGTTCTATGCATTAAATTTTAAAATAGTATTTAAAAATTACAATGAATAATACATCGTCATGAGAGAAAAATTAGATGATACAGATTAACAAAAAGAACACACGAAAAATTATTCATAATCCCACTTCTCCGAAGATTACCACCGTTAAAATATTTTTGGTTTATTTCCCACTTAGATCTTTATTTTCTATAAATATAGAAATACTTTTCTAGGAATAAATATTTTTATAGCCAGTAACACAGTGTATGTACAGTATATCAATTTGTTATTGTTAGGTGCTGTTGAGTCAGTTCCAACTCATACCAACCCTGTGTACAACAGAACAAAACGTTGTCCAATCCAGTATATCGATTATGTAGTTAAAAAGTAAAGATTAAACAATAAGCTAGAATGAAATCTTTGGAGATTATGGCTGTTTTCTGTTTTCTTCTTTATATTTTCTGTTTTGCAAGTTTTCTAAAATCAGCATATTTATTAGGCATGTATTATATTAAACTTTTAGATCTTGATAAATATCCAAGCAGAGGATTTCAAGATCATGAGACCAGCTCATCTGCCACTAGTTGAGGCAATCGCCTCCTCCAGGTAGCCCTCCTTGATGCCCCTATACTGAGCTGGTGCCTTCCCTGTGCATTTGTCTTTGGAACAATGATAATAATAATAGCTAATACTTACTGAATACTTACTATATGCCAGGCACTATTCCAAATATTTTGCAATTTTTAACTCAGCTCTTTGAGGTGCGTACTATCGTTACCCCCATTTTACAAATGAGAAAACTGAAGGACAAAGATAGAATCTCATTCCAATACTGACAAGGTAGAGTAATACCTGAGAAGTTTCCCTTTAGGTTTCCCACCAGCTAAAGGTATTGGGGGCTCAATGTAAGAATTAAGTTGACTTTAGGAAAGAGGTGATATTTCTTGTTAAACATAATAAATGTGCTCATTTTAGAAAACTAGGAAAATATAAAGAAGAAAACAGCCATAATCCCATCCTTCCAGAGATTTCATTTTAGATTCTTTTTTCATCTTTATTTTTGACTACATAATTGATATACTGTATATACAGTGTGTATCTGAATGTGCCCCATTATGCATACTTGCTATAGAGACTGATCATCGAGGGGGGAAAAAGAAATGAGAAAATGTCTTCTTAAAAAACAGAAGCAGAGAGTGAATTTAGTCAGTCACAGAAGGAAAATACTGTATAAGACCACTATTATAAGAACTCAAGAAAAGGTTTAAACACAGAAGAAAACTTTCTTTGATGGTTATGAGGGTGGGGAGAGAGGGTGAGGGTTATTCACTAACTAGATATTAGATAAGAATCATCTTAGGCCAAGGGAAGGACAGCACACACTACAGGGGAAATCAGCACAACTGGACTAAACCAAAGCTAAGAAGTTTCCTGAATACAATCAAATACTTTGACAGACAGAGTAGCAGGGGTAGGGGTATGGGGACCCTGCTTTCGGGGGACATCTTGGTCAATTGGCATAACAAAGCTTATTAAGAAAATGTTCTGCATCCTACTTTGGTGAGTGGCATCTGGAGTCTTAAAAGCTTGCAAGTAGCCATCTAAGATGCATCAGTTGGTCCCAACCACCTGGAGTAAAGGAGAATGAAGAACACCAAAGACACAAGGAAAGTATTAGCCCAAGAGGCAGAATGGGCCACATAAACCAGAGACTTCATCAGCCTAAGACCAGAAGAACTAGACGGTGCCTGGCTACCACCAATGAAAGTCCTGACAGGGAACACAACAGAGAGTTCTTGATGGAGCAGTGGAAGGATGGGGTGCAAAACTCAAATTCTAGTAAGAAGACCAGACTTAATGGTTTGACTGAGACTGGAGGAACCCCGGAAAGCATGGCCCCTGGACTCTCCTTCAGCCCAGAACTAAAACAATTTCCGAGGCCAACTCTTCAGACAGGGATTGGACTGGTCTGTGGGACATAAAGTGATACTCGTGAAGAGTGTGCCTTTTAGTCAACTAGATACAAGAGACCAAAGGAGCGGCTTCTGTCCAGAGGTGAGATGGGAAGGCAGAGAGGGTTAGGAGCTGGTTGAATGGTCATGGGGAATCAGGGGCGGAAAGGAGGAGTGTGCTGTCGCAGGATGGGGTGAGCAATTAGGGTCACATAACAATGTATGTATAAAATTTTGTATGGGAGACTAACTTGAAATGTAAACTTCATTGAAATGTAAACTACAACAATAAAAAAAAAAAAAGAAATGGAAAAAAAAAAAAAACAGAAGCAGAAAGAAGGCTTTATGGCCCCTTCTCTGCTTCTGAGGGTGATAGGTCTGCTGTTCTGAGTTGATCTGAAGATTTCACAAATTATGAAATAGACAGAAATCGCTGTCTCTGTATCCCTCCTGTGACACCAGCCTGTCCTCCCCCACTCAAGAGGGCGCTCTGGAGACGGGTCTCAGGCCTCTTCAAGGCAGGTCGCCCACCGTAAACATACTCACGGTGGGAGTATCTGTCAAAGCCCCAGTCTTGCTTTGCCTCAAACAGGTTCTATTTCTTTCTCCGTGAAAACAACTTAGTCCTAAATCACCGACGCCTGAAATTAGAAAAATATGAGGCCCATATTATCATAAAACTATTTTAACACAGCAGGGCCCTCTTGGCAGCAGGAGGGGTGACCAACTGCTCCACGGCAACCCCTTCCATTGCAGCCCCTGGAAACACTCAGAGGAATGAGGAATTTGGTTTTCATTAGCGGCGAATGTGAGGAGTTCTGTCACTCTGAATGGACCTTTGATTCTGGCTGGCAGTGGAATCTTTCCAGGACCCACTGAATTTTGTTTCGTTTTGTTTTGTTTCCATATAAAATGAGTCAGGCCCTTCTAGCTTATATCTCCCCAAACTACACGGGAATTGGGCAACACCCCAACCTCTTGACTTCTCAAGTCAACAGCTGGGGCCAGCAGAGGAGGCACCCGAGACCATTCACCTTTATTGACTCTGAGGTTTTATTAAAAATATTATGTTTCCTTGAGGTCTGCGTCAGACCCAACAAAAAGACGGGCCAGTGAGGGGCTGGCGCGGGCCAGGAGCATTTTCACTGCCTAGAAGACAGCCCACCTTGACCCGCCTCCGCCCACCCCAGTGACCCCTAGAAATGGCCTCCACTTTAGAATCTCCACAGAAAACCTGACTTCTTCCCTTTTATCTACTTCAAATGAAAGAACATTGGCATGCTTTTTTATTCATTCAAAAAACATCAGTTTAGCACCTACTACAACATAGGGTACTTGGGATCCAGTCAGACAAAGTCTTTAGCCCCATGGAGCTTGCACTCTGGTTGGGGGGAAAGGTCATGAATAAACAAATAAATACAACACATGATTTCAGATAGTGTCTTAGTTTCCTGGGGCTGTCATAACAAAATGCTACAAACTGGGTGGTTTTAAAGAACAGAAATATATTGTCTCACAGTTTTGGAGGCTTAGAAGTCCAAATCAGGGTATCAGCCATGCTGATTCCTTCTGAGGGCTCTGAGAGAAGAACTGTCTCATGCAGGCCTCCTAGCTTCCTTGACTTGCAGCTGCACCTGCCTCTGTCATCACACGGCCATTCTTCCTCTAATTCTCCGTGTCTGTTCTCCTCTTTTATAGGACCCCACTCAAATGGGATTAGGACCCACCCTAAAACAAACAAACAAACAAAAAACAAACTCTTTGTTGTCGTGCTGATTCCGACTCATGGTGACCCCACGTGTTACAGAGTAAAACTGCTCCATAGGGTTTTCTTGGCTGTAATCTTTATGGAAGCAGATCACCAGGCCTTTCTTCCACAGCATGGCTAGGTGGGTTTGAACCACCAACCTTTAGGTTAGTAGTCAAGTGCAAACCATTTGCACTATCCAGGGACATTAGGACCCATCCTAAACCGAAAAACCAAACCTGTGGCCGTCAAGTCGATTCCAACTCATAGTGTCCGGTAGGACAAGGTAGACCTGCCCCATAGGATTTCTAAGGCTGTAATCTTTATAGAAGCAGACTGTCACATCTTTCTCTGGTAGAGCAGCTAGTGGATTCAATAAGCTGAACTTTCAGTTAGCAGCTGAGCACTTAGCCATTATGCCACCAGGGCTCTCCATCTTAAAAGACCTTATTTCCAAACAAGGTCACATTCACAGGTACCAGGAGTTAGGACTTTAACATATCTTTTAGGGGGACACAATTCAATCCATAACAACAACAACAAAAAAAACCCAAACCCACTGTCGATTGCCGTGGGTCGATTCCAACTCATAGTGACCCTATAGGACAGAGTAGAACTGCCCCATAGAGTTTCCAAGGCTGTAAATCTTTCCGGAAGCAGATTGCTACATCTTTCTTCCGCGGGGCAGCCGGTAGGCTTGAACTGCCAACACTGTGGTTAGCAGCTGAGCGCTTTAACCACTGTGCAACCAGGACACCCTTCAATCCATAACAGATGGTGGTAAGTGCTATTTAAAAAAACAAACAAACAGGATAATGTGATGGTGGAAGACTGGGAGGTGGAAGGCAACATAGATAAAGGTAGTCAGGGAAGGTCTCTCTGAGGAGGTGGAAAGGATGACAGCAGACTATCATAAATTTAGCCAGGTATAGCCTAATCTCAGCTACTGTGCCAGATGTGGTATCTTTACTGGAGCAGATAAACACAGTCTCCAGAATTTGGTATGCAGCTCTATTGATTTAGCAAGTACTTTCTTCATGATACCCAACAGCAGAGAGAAGCAAAGCAGTTTACCTTTACATGGCAGCTATAGCAGAACACCTTCATTCTTCTTCACTCTTCTGTTCCCCATCATAATATTGTCCTTGTGGGCTATCTTAGGTCAGATTTCCTAGAAGCAAACCCATAGATGGAGATTTTTGTGGAGGTACTTTTAGGAGAAGGGGAATAAAAGAAGCAGGACAGATAGCTAAGCAATGATGTCCTTGGGCTAGAGACCAGTCTCATTCTGGTCCCTGGGGGGCTCTGGAGCATGAATATCTCCCCCTTAAGATAAGGGAGTTGGCCATTTGAATTCCCATGTCAGTCTGTATGGCTGGCCGACCCCTTGGAGGGGCATACTTCCCTGGTAAGATACATACTATTAGGCAGAGAGTAACTCTCCAGAGAAGGGGTCAGATGTGAACTGTTAGCACCAACACTCACATGATGTCAATAAAATAGTGGACCAAGGTATTGATGTCTGAGGAATGTCAAGACAATCAAGGGAATTATAGTGGATGCTGTCAATAAGGCACTCGGACCTTTTCCCTGGGTGTTGTCCCCGCTGCGCGGCTGCTTTGAACTCGGTGAGCAGAAAGTGGCAAGAACCCTGGATACCTTAGTGACACATGCATGCCAAAGGGTGGAAGACCAACCTCAAGAAGATTCAGGGACCCACCATATTTTTTTATTGTACTTTAGATGAAGGTTTACAGAACAAACTAGCTTCTCATTAAACAATTAGTACGCATATTGTTTTATAACATTGGTTGCCAACCCCATGACATGTCAACACTCTCCACTTCTTGACCTTGCGTTGCCCTTTACCAGCTTTCTTGTCCCCTCCTGCCTTCTCGTTCTTGCCCCTGAGCTGGTGTGCCCATTTGGTCTCATTTTGTTTTATGGGCCTGTCTAATCTTCGGCTGAAGGGTGAACTTCAGGAGTGACTTCAGTATTGAGTGAAAAGGGTGTCCGGGAGCCATACTCTCGTGGTTTCTCCAGTCTCTGTCAGACCAGTAAATCTGATTTTTTTTTGTGAGTTAGAATTTTATGTTATATTTCTCTCCAGCTCTGTCTGGGACCCTCTATTGTGATCCCTGTCAGAGCAGTCAATGATGATGGTAGCTGGGCACCATCTAGTTGTGCTGAACTCAGTCTGGTGGAGGCTGTAGTACTTGTGGGAACCCACCATATTGATGAAAATTTGAGGGAACCAATATCTGAGGCATGCCACAGCACCCTCTCTAAGGCAATAGACAAGTTGCTGCACCTTGCACCTTCTTCCAGGCAGTAGGCTGTAAATGGCCCCAAAAAAGGTATGTCCACATCCTAAGCCCCAGGACCCGTGAATGTGACCTTATTTGGCAAAAGGGTCTTTACAGTTATAATTAGTTAAGGATCTTGAGACGAGGAGATCACTCTGGATTATCCAGGTGGGACCTAAATCCAATAGCAAGTGTCCTCATAAGAAACACAGAGAGGAGTAACACAAAGAAAAGAAGAAGAGGCAATGCAACCACAGAGGCAAAGATTGGAGTGGTGCAGCCACAAGCCAAGGAATGCCTGAAGCCACCAGCAGCTAGAAGAGGCAAGGAACAGATTTTTCCCTAGATCCTTCAAAGGGAATACAGCCCTACCACCACCTAGGTTTCATACTCCTGGCTTCAAAAACTGTAAGAGAATAAATTTCTGTTGTTTTAAGCCAGTTTGTGATAATTCGTTACAGCAGCTACAGGAAACTAATACACACCACCAAAAAAGAAGCACAGCTTTGGATGGTCTCTTTGAATTTTGAAGCAGTATATACCACACTTGGGACTACTACTTTGACCTATTTCTAAGGTGGTTCAGAAAGCTGTTAGTTTGCAACAAAACAAAAGATGGCTCTGCAGCAGGTCCAAGCTGTAATGTAAACAGTCAAACCATATGACCAAGATTCCATGGTGCTAGATAAGGATGTTAGGTGGAGTTTTGGGCATCCCTTAGTAGAAAATCCCTAGTGCAGACCCCTAGGCTTATCTGCAGCAGAGAACTACTCTCCTTTTGAAAAGTAATATGTGGCGTGCTTACTGGATCCTAATAGAGACTGAGTGCCTGACCATGAGACACCAAGCAACTATGCCACCTGAGTTTCTCATCATGAGCTGGGAATTATCTGAGACACCAAGTCATAATATTAGAAGGGCACAGAAGCACTCCACTGTACAATTAATCAGGACTGGGCAGGTCCAGAAGGCACAAGTATGTTACATGAAAAAGTGGGCCAGACCCCCATGTCACCTATTTCTTGTTGCACCTATGTCTACCCCTCCACACACACCTATGGCCTCACGGGAAGTTTACTACAATCACCCATCAGAGGAGTAAAGGACTCAGATCTGGTTCATAGACAGGTTGGCACGTGGGGCCATAAGCAATAGATCTGGTCATCTCCATCTTATGGAGGAAGAAGTGGCCTGAGTCACATGTAGACACCAACTCCTGGGCTGGTTGGTCAGCAGCCTGAAAGGAAAAAGATTAGAAGTTCTTAGATTGCGTGATTGGGGAAGGCTTGCCTGAGGAAATGACAATTGAGCAGAATGTGCAGGAGACTCATATGGCAAACATCTCAGTGCTCTCGAGGTCTTTCCCATTTACAAAGCACCATCAACCATGAATCACTGAACTCTCATGATCTGGTTAGGTGGGTCCTTCGTGACTCCCCTGGGCTGAGTTCTCGCCTACCCATCCTGGCTGCGGCAGGCTTCAGGTATGGACACCTGTTTCAGGTTGTGCTGCCCAGAAGCAGACACTGAAGAGGATTCTTACAAAAATTATTTCTTAAAGAAGTGCCCTCAGGACAAGTGAGTAACAGAGTGAGGAGTTGTACAAAGAAGGCAAATAGTCAACTTGAGCCTGAGCCTTGGGGAGCTCTGGAGAGCTTGTTCCCAACTCGAGGCCAGTGAGCTGGCTTTCATACTCCTGCATGCTCACCTGTTAGTCATAACCATGGTAAGGGTGGCACCAGGGGACATAAATGCTCAGGCACTTCTGGTTCTGTGTGTATGTGGAAGCGGGAGGGGGCACAAAGCAGCTCCAGTAGCCCAAGGGGTGGCCTCTTGAGAGAGTCGCTCATGCAGGCTGTTAGAAACAAAGGAGCACAGGAGCCAAGGAAGGCTCACAGAAATGGAGCGTCAGCTACAGTCTCTGCCTGAGTTAGGCCCTCGGCATTGCCTGGGAACATCAGGGTGACAGGTAAGAGAGGCAGCTCACGGAATATTTGGCTTTGACAGGGATACCAATGAGCTGCACCATCATCGTTTGGCCAGAGAAACTAAAAAAGATGCTTATGTTTCAAAAGCATAACAAAAAAACCACATTTCTGCCACCTTCTAGGAGATGAGGAGCTGCCATGCTACCAAGAGGAAACAGGAGCCAGGGTCCAGGCCCTGGACAGAAGTACCATTAGGTCGGCTGGAAAACACATCCAAATGTTCTCAAGGTCGTTTTTGGAACTGTGCTGGCCAAATGAGGGAGGTGCTGGCCTGGCAGCTGGACCAGACCCACTCAGGGGAAGAGGAGGGAGTGGCTGGTAGCCGGTGAGCAGGGGGCGTCACTCCCCTGTGCTCTGGAGACCCACTGTCCACAAATGCAGTTCTGGGGAGAGCAAAGGAGTGGGAGCCTGGCTGGGGTCTTGCCAAGTTAGCTTTCAGGGTGGATGGACACATCTCCTTAGTCCTGGCATCTTTTGCTAAACAAACATCTCCCCAAGCCAGGGTAAACCCTCAAGGAGCAAGAATTCTCTAGAAACAGTGTTTCTCAAACTTCACTCACTCAAGTACAACCTTCCCACTTTTTGCCATATCTGATGACCAACTACACTAGTATTTTACTTAACATTTGCCTTTAAAATGTTGACTCTTTCTTTGACTTAAATATTCATGATTTAAAAAATATATATATGGGAGGCAGTGGAACCAACATGGCACTATAGACAGAACCATCCCTCTGCAGCAAAGACCCGAAAAACTAAGTAAAACAATCCTGGAACCCTAAGCGTCAAATGAAGGGATAAAGAACTCAATCAAGCACCGAACGGAATAAGAAACTGACAGAAAATGAGGACAGCCAAGGAGTGGAGGTCCCCTACCAGCTAACACGGCATGGATTCGCCATCTTGGACAACAGCCACCAAGGAAGGCAGACAGGGAGTACAGGAAGGCAACTTCACAGAGCTCCCAACAAGAGACAGAGCACCTGGTAACCAGGGATACATGCTTTCCCACTCCCTAAGCTTCTTCCCTCTACGTGGCCTCCACCACTTCCCAATGGGTCACAGTCACTCAGCCGGAGAGACCCTAGCCCAGGTCCACCCCACCTCCACTGGCCAGCTCCTTCAGTATCATTTTTGTTGTTGCTATTTGTTAGTTTTCTTTTTTTTTTTTTTTGTTTCTTCTCTCTCTCTCTCCCTTCCTTCCTTTCCTTTCTCCCACCCAGCTAGTCCCGTGTGCTGTCCCCTCTGCTTCTTGATGGGCTGTGCCACACCCCTTGGCTAGAGAGCCACCAGCACACGGCCTCCCTAGGTCCATGCCGCCCCCACTGGCAGGCTCCCTCGGCGCCATTTTTTTTTCTATTTCTTCTCTCTCTCTCCCTTCCTTCCTTTTTTCTCCCACCCACCCAGACCCATGTGCCATCCCTGCCCCTTCTTGATGGGCTGTGTCACACCTCTCAGCTAAAGAGCCACTAGCACATGACCTTCCAAGTCTGTGCTGCCCCCATCACCGGTAGGCTCTCTCAGCACCATTTTTCCCCATTTGGTTTCTCCTCTCTCTCTCCCTTCCTTCCTATCCCTTCTCCCACCCGCCTAGCCCTGTGAGCTGCCCTGCCCCTTCTCAACAGGCAGTGTTGCACCACTTGGCTAGAGAGCCACTGACACGCGGCCTCCCAGGTCCGTGCTGTCCCCACTGGCCAGCTCCCTCAGCACCATATTTTGTTTGTTTTTGTTTTCTTTTGTTTTTTGTTTCTCATCTCTCTCTCCCTTTCTTCCTTTCCCATCTTCCGCCCACCTAGCCCTGTGCACTGTCCCTGCTCCTTCTTGAAGGGCCTTACCAAACCACTTGGCTAGAGAGCCACCAGCACACAGTCTTTCTG